TCAGTCTTTGTTAATGTGCATATTTGTTGCCGCTAGCACCAAGCAAGCCAAAGGAATAAAAAGATGTATACAGAGTAAAGTGAAAAGTGACTAGCCTTTCACAAAACCACAAACAGACAGAGCACAACAGTTTTATACGCGTTCTAAAACAAGCTCCAGTTGAAAAGCATCATTGACGAAATGCGACATTAGCCCTGTCAACGTATTGTTGGCAACAACAAAATGTCCTAAGTCGAGGTAAGGAGCCGATTTCAGGTGGGAATTGGACCTTATAGATTATTGTTGTCTAATTTGAGGACATTAGGAAAAGAGCAATTTGCAATGTCACGTGGAAGCTATCAACTCGACTTAGTGCTAGAGGTACCTTAACTCACATCCAATTCACTTATCACACTTAGGAATTGACATGTACACCTAGGAACCATAAAAGTTTCACCCAATTTGGTCTAATTACATTTGTAGAACAGTTCAAGTCTTAGCCGGAAGTTTGAGGTGTTACAAATATAACGACACATTCTTTCGAGACTTTTTTCCTCAAGTCTTTTAAAAGAATTATAGTTAATGAGATGTAAATAGGAAGCTTAATTAATATTTGACCCAATGTGAATAGGAAAACTACATAATTAAAGTTCCTAAATAGCATAGATTTCATGAGATTTATTAATGCTCTTTTTAGGAATGTCTTTCTTGCAAAATTACATATTTTCCTTAATTGAACAAAAATATAAAGAGAATCAGATCTCCATATTTAACTTTGTGTTTCTTCCTATTTGCATAAAAAAATTGAAGAAAGTAGAAAAATACCAATGGAAAAGTTCCACCATTTTCACCTTTTCATTTCTATTATTTTCTCAATTCTACTTATTGTGTTGGGAAATACAAATTCCCTATCACCCCTCAACTCAACTTACATAATGCAAGCTAGAAAAATATTTATGTCTCTCGATCCGACTAAGCTTCCCGATCCTCCGATGCCATCTTATACTTTTACTGTTTACCATCGCGATGTATTTGAAAAATCAAAATTCAAGGACTACGACTCATTGCTTGAAAATAGACTTGCTCGATGTAATGCTAGAGCAAGATATTTAGCTTCGGTTCTTGAATCTCAAAATGGTGCACAAGGAGGTGAGATGCTCGAGCTGGTCCCAAAATCAACAGATATTTTCTACGGGGGTGGTGAGTATGTCGCGTCTTTTTTGATTGGCACTCAAATGATAAAAAATTACTTATTAATAGACACTGGAAGTGATTTAGTTTGGTGGCAATGTGGACCATGTGTGGCGTGTTACAAACAAGATCAACCTCTATATGATTCTATTGCATCCAAAACATTTCGAATTATAGGTTGCAATCGACATGCTTTAAGGTGCAGGACTGTGGATCCAGCCTTTCATTGTAATCAAGAAAATTTTGAGTGTAGATATGATATGATATACGCGGATCATTCACAAACAAAAGGTTTCATAGCAGATGATGTGATTACTTTTAATTTAGACCATCGTCCGGTTAGGGTCACATTTGGATGTAGCAAAGATCAAACTGGAGAAAAAAATTTCAGTTCTTTCGCTTCTGGGATTCTTGGCGTTGGTCGCGCTGTTCAATATTCTTTACCATCGCAATTTGGGGGGCACGTAATGTCCATGTGTCTACCACCTTTTTATTCAGGAAAAGGATCAGTTCTTAGTTTCCATACTAGCAAGTGGCCAAGAGCAACATCAGCAAAACTGTTATTTAACTATAGGTACCCTTCATTTTATTATGTCAACCTTTATAAAGTTTTTATTAACGATCGAGAGGTTCCAGTGAGTCCTTCGTGGTGGAAGTTTAAACCATATATGAGTGGTGGAGTGTTGGTGGATACAGGGACAAGTTTTACCTATTTTCCTAATGATTTTTATGTCGTATTCCGTTACATATTCAGAGAAGAAGTACAAGATATTCCTATGGTTGAAAATCCAAATAAACCTTTCGACACTTGCTATAAGGATGATCCGAGTGGTCATGGTTTATTCTTCCCTGTAGTGAAGTTGTACTTTGGCAGCGTAAGCTCGAGCACAATGTTACTTCTGGAAAAAGAACGAGTTGTTATTAACTATCGCGGGCTCTACTGCTTGGCTTTTGTTGGATGGGATAGAGATCAGTCAGTATTAGGAATGATGCAACTCCAAGGTGTAGGATTAACTTTCGATACTTTAGCAAATACTTTGTCATTTGACATTGATGCATGTGATTGAGTATAAAAATTGGTTGTGATGATAATAATAATAATGCTCTATTTATTTGCATGAATTTCATCACTTTAGGAAGATATACATTTCTTGCTAAACGAAGAAACCATCTAAAGCATGGTTCTACGTTACTACTTCTACTCAGAGGCGGAGCCAGAATTTTTTTAAGTTATTCATACGTATTAAATGATTTTTCTTATAAACAAAAACAGGATTTAGAACCAAAGCTACTGGATTGCCCAACTTGTCTCTTCCCCTGCTTCTAGTCCCCTGTTTGGTCATGGACTAGAGCAATCGCAGCAACAAATTCGATTAATTTTGATATATCCGAAGGGATGGTTCAACATAGCTTCTTGTTTGAACACCTTATGGAAACTCATGTCTCAAGACTAATGCCTAAAACTTTGCATTTGAAACCTTCAGTCTAATTGTCGAAATTATGCCAAGAAGCCAATATATTTAAAGGTCTCTTAGCAAAAAGGATAAATACGCACCATTTGTTAGATGGCAGGGGTATATCCACTCTAAATGTGAAAGCTAACGGATATATTTGTCCCTTTTCCTTATTTGGTATGACACGAATAGTTCTTCACGAAAAAATGTTTTTTCCTAAAATTTGGTCTGCTAAGTGCGAGAAGGAGAGCCTTGGAGCAAGTCAAAGTTATTTCCATGTGATTTATAGGTCACAGGTTCAAGCCGTGCAGTTGAAAAATCCTAAGAGAATATATCCTTTTTTTCTAATGTTGTTCCTAAACAAGCAAAATATGGAAGGAAATATCCTTCTTCTAAATGGGCTCTAATAATTTTAGCCTAATCCTATCAAATCACGGGCTACGCCAGCCCAGCAATACAAGCCCATATTTTGCCAACAAATTCATGCTCCCATTTAAGGAATGATTCCTAAAAAAGAAATAGTTCAATTTTGTTTGACAAAATAATAAATTATGGTCCTTTTTGCATTTATGGTAAGAAAATCTATTATTTGTCTTAATAGGGAATATTAATCATTTTGTAATTGGTCAAAAAGAGAATTAAATTTACATATTAACTAGTATATATATGAGTGCAAGGAGTGGTAGACATATCTCAAACCAAATCAAGCAATTAGAAAAATAATGGAGAAGTTCCTCCATATTCACCTTTTGACTTCAATAATTTTCTCAATTTTGATTGTAGTTTTGGGATATGAAAAATCTTTTTCACTCCTTAACTCAAGTTATATCATGGATGCTAGAAATAGATTTATGTCTTTTGATACAACTAATCTTCTCGATCCTCCGAGACCATCCTATACTTTTTCCATTTACAATCGTGCATTATTTGAAAAGTCAAAGTTCAAGGACTATGACTCGTTACTTGAGAGTAAACTAGCTCGTTCTGAAGCTAGAGCAAATCATTTTGCAACGATTCTTGAAAATGGTAACACGATTGGTGCAAATGGAACTCTGGCAAGGCCACACGGCACACATGAGAGTAAAAGGGACAAAGGAAAGTTTCCGAAAACAACAAGGGTACATTTGGTAGAAGGTGAGTATGTTGCAACTTTTACTATTGGCAGTGAAGAAACTAAATCTTTCTTGCTAATAGACACTGGAAGTGATTTAGTTTGGTGGCAATGTAAACCATGTAGACCAAATAAGTGTTACAGTCAAAAAAATCCTATATATGATTCAACTAAGTCTAGAACATACCGACAACTCGATTGCATTGTGGAAACTTCTAGTTGTCAAGTCGCGTCCAAGGTATATCAATGTACTGAGTTTGGTAATCAGTGTCTCTATGATTACAAATACGTGGAGGGATCGATAACAAAAGGTTGGATTGCAGAAGACGTGATTACTTTTTATTTAGACTTAGGTCGGGTAAGGATTCTTTTCGGATGTGGCATAGATCAAACGAGTGGAACACAATTTAATGGTGAATATTCAGGAATTGCAGGGATCGGGCGTAGAGTGTTGAAAGGTGGATATTCTTTACCATCGCAATTGGAGGCAGACATAATGGCAATGTGTCTACCGGGGACTTACTCCACGAAAGCATCAACAATTAGCTTCCACACAACACCATTTAAGAAGACAACATCAGCAGGACTATTACCAAATTTCAGATTCCCTAATTTTTATTTCGTCAACCTTTATAAAATTTTCATCAATGATAAGGAAATCCCATTTTTCCCATCATTGTCGCGGAATTTTGGAAATTATGACATGACCGGTGGTTGCATCGTTGATACAGGAACAATTATGTCCCGTTTCCCAAGAGATTTTCATACTGTATTCCGTGACACATTCAGAAAGGAAGTACGAGGTATTCCTATGATGGAGGTTCCACTTGGAGCTTTCGACACTTGCTATATAGAGGAACCAGGTGTGGTACCAACTTTCCCCGTTGTGAAGATGTACTTCGGCCACCAAAGCCCGGATAATTTGTTGTTACTGCAACAACTGCGAGTCGTGGTGCACATTAGGGGGCTATTCTGTCTGGCATTTTTGCCATGGGACCAAAACGTTGCAATTATAGGAAATCATCAACTTCAAGGTGTAGGATTAACTTTTGACACTGGAACAGACACTTTGTCTTTTGACTTAGATGCATGTTAGTGAGTGTATCTATAAAATTTCTCTGTGTCGAAATTTAATTGTCTTTTGATCTTTAATTCAATCATAAAATAAAGCCATATCCACATGAGGTATTGTTTTTCCAAACGGAGTGTATGTGATACTGATGATGATGATATAGCTTGTGATTGTGGCGTAGTTATTGCATTCTAGAAAACAACAATTCAGGAAGACGTACATTTCTTGCTAAACGAATGAAACGATAGAAAACAAGTTATATACATATAAAATGGTTCTTCAACATAAATACATGGTTTGAGCCAAAGCTACATGTACCTTTGGTGGCTCCTCCCCTGCTTCTAGTCCAAGTGCAATTGTATTTCAGAGTCCCCTGTTTGGTCATGGACTCAAGCAATCGCAGCAACAGTCTGATACACTTGTTGCATCGTTGGCCTTTGATCCGGGATGAATTTCATGCAGTTACTTGCAAGTTCAAGTAGTTGCATTACCATATTATCAAATCCTTGGCCTAGCAGTAGTTTATCCACATCAAGAGGACTGGCAAAAGAGCTGCTCGATAAATTTTGACTCGAGCAGCTCAATTCGTAAGATTCCTTCCCCGTTAAAATCTCGAGAAGCACAACCCCAAATTTATAGACATCTTTTTTGTATGTTGTAAAGTCTAAAAACTCGACCATTGGCGATAGACTCAAGTTTGAACCTATGTCATTTGGTTCTACAAATGTTGCCTCCCAAAAATTGGATAACTTGGGATCGAAATTTTCATCGAGCAAGATACATTGTGTGCTAATGTTACTATGCACGACATGGAAATTTCCACCATCATGAAGCCAAGCCAGGGCTTTCGCGACACCAACAACAATTTTAACCCTTAGAGGGAAGTCCAAGAGTCTTGCCTTGTCGCCGGTTGAATGCAGCCACTCATGTAAGTTTCCATTAGGCATGTATTTGTAAACCAGAATCCGCTCGTCCCTCTCATAACAAAATCCGATTAGGGACACTAAATTCGGATGCCTCAAAATACCTAGAGTTGTGATCTCGGAAACAAACTGTTCCTCCAAATCCTCGGAACTTTGGAGCCTCTTTATGGCAACAGTCCATCCATTTGGGACTAGTGCTTTGTACACTTTCCCCAGCATTCCATTCCCGATTTCATTGTCTTGGCTGAAATTCGAAGTCGCTTTTGATAGTTCGATAAAATTCATTCTTGTAACAATCTTCTCCAGCTTTAAAATCTGAGGAGAAAAACATATCTACCATTACCACATATATAATCATGCCCTTTAACTTGGTCTCATTTGGAATCTATGCCCTCCGACTTTGAATGTGCACAAATAGATACTTAAACTAGTATATAATTGAACAAGTAGACACACACGTCCTATATGGAATAATACACATAGGACACCACATAGGATGCAAATTGACCACATAGGACGCCACATCAGACGCATAAGTCTACTTTTTTAAATGTCTGCTTGTGCACACCCAAAGTTGGACGGCATACATGCAAGCGGAAGCCAAGCCAAAATTAGGAAACTACCATCTACCATTCAAAAGAAAAAAACTACCAAGTAATGTAGAAAGCGACCAACCCGTCACAAAACCACAAGCAAACAGAATATGACGGCTTACTACGCGTTCTGTAACACATAATTCCAGAGGACTACCACAAAGTCCTGAATTATTTGCATAGCTTTCAATTGGAAAAGTGACAAAATTTGGCACTGGCCCTGTCAACATATTATTTGCAACATTAAACGTCTTGAGTCGCTTTAACAAGCGAATTTCAGGTGGGATCAGTCCTTCTAGTTTATTGTTTTCTAATTTGAGGGAATTGAGATGAGAGCAATTTGAAATGTCACTTGGGATCGCGCCTGAGAATAGGTTGCTTGAGAGATCAACCGTTACAATAAATCCAATTAATCTTGATATATCCGAAGGGATGGTTCCATATAGCTCGTTGCTTGAAAGATCTAGAGAAGTTATAGAAGTGCAATTTTGTATGCCTCGCGGAAACTCACCTTTTAGTCCCATGTCTGGAAGACTAATGGATAAAACTCTGGTCTCATCAGGATGCCAGCATTGTATTCCTGCAAATCTGCATATGAAACCTTCTGTCTGATTATCGAACTTCCATGTAGAATTCAACATGTTTAAAGGGTCTACCAACGAATCTTTTATCGATCTCAAGCAATCGATATCACTCTGCACCGCGTAGCATCTTAGAGAAAAGCTGCAAAATAGTAGGAAAAATGGTAGTACTAAGTAAAGAATGTTGCAGTTACACATTGTTGAAATGAATTTTTTTGTTTATTTGCTTTGGCAATTGTGGTGTAATATACTAATTGATTTTTTGCAAAAATGGACACCAGTTGACTTGGGTCAATAAGAAGGTAGAATAATTCCACCACATTTTTTTTTAACATTTTTGACTCCGCAACTTGGGCCAAGTCAATAGGATATGTTGTACTTGTCTATATTATCTCTCTGGGTGCGATCCTTTTCTGGATCCATGACGCCTTACTCTAAGGGTAGGTCCGCCTCTGCTTTTCAAACTTTTCTATTCATATGAAGATTCAAAGTTATAATTATCGTATATTAATAGAAAATCGTTGAAGAAAATTCATTAGCTTCAAAAAAAATCATCCCTTGGCTAATTTTTCCACCCACCCCATAGATACTTTATTCTCAAAAGAAAATCCCTACTAAGAGAAGACAATCATAAGAATAAGATTAGCTATTACTATATAATTAACTTTGTTTAGCATTTTAATTCAAGAAAAGAGAATAATGAAACATATTTAATATTTTGTACTCAATTAATTAATCACCTGCATCTAAGTCAAAGGACAAAGTTTTTTTTGTGAAAAATATTCAACTTTTAGTAGTGTACGTTGACTACTAGTTTCAGTTACCTTTGAATTTGAATGATAATTAAGATATTGTCTCTAGATCTAAAATTAAATGATTAAGACTCTTTGTTTTTCATCATCTAAATGTGAATAATATATAATTCAAATAAAAATAATAATAAAATCAATGATGGCTGTCACTTTTTTCCAGTCATCAACAACTATTTTGATAAGTCTCCAAAAGTATTTACTACTTTTTGTGAAGTCATCAACAACTATATTGACAAAACGATATACCATAAATTCAATGTGGTCCAATTTTGTTAGAATTATGCAAATGAGATGTACGCCCCGTAGATCCATTGGATTTAAGTTAGATCTACAAAATTTCTTATATCTAGTGTGTTATTTCTGTATTTTTCATCAATCATAAAATAAAGCTAAACTGTGTGTATAGTAGTATATAAAATGGCAGTGGCCCTGTCCAACATGTTGTTAGCAACACTAAATATGTCGAGTCGATCTAACGAGTATATTTCAGGTGGTATTGGACCTTCTAGTTTATTGTTATCTAATTTGAGGACATTATCAATTTGCAATGTCATTTGGGATCGCGCCTGAGAATTCATTTGCTCGGATATCCAAAAAATTATAGCAAATCCAAATAGTTTTGATTTATCGGAAGGGATAGACGTTCCATATAGCTCGTTGTTTGGAAGATCTAGAGAAGTTAAGGAAGAGCAACATTGAACGCCTCGTGGAACTCAACTATTAATCTAAGTGTAGTTTTGGAACATTGGAAAGTCTTTTCATATTTCTTAAACTACGTGTTCAGTCAAACTACATCACATAAATTGGGAGTACTAAGTAAAGAAAGTTGCAGCTGCACATTGTAAAAGTGAAAGTTTTTTGTTCCTAATGTTCTTATGCAAATTGTTTCCTAGAAATTTAAGAAGATTACAACAAAAATGAATTTCTTCACCAAGCAAGTGTCGTTGGTATTATTCAAACAAGACGTGTAGTTGTATATTCGTCCATAGATTAAATTCGATATGTCTATCTGAAAGGTGAAAAGTATCTGAAAAGAGCTAGCCTTGCTTCATTTTCCCCTTCTTTAGCAATGATATTTTTGTTATCGCAAGTCAAGATTCACATAAAAGGATGGGACATAAAACGGAGCATTTGTGATAATGATGATCATTCTGAAGCATAGTTATTGCAATATTGAAAACAACAATTCAGGAAGACATACATTTCTTGCTAAACAAAGAAACCATAGGAAACACGGTTCCAAGCTGATGATTCTAGTATGAGGCAGAGCCAGAATTTGTAGCACATGAGTCTGGATAGATTATTTATACATATGAAATGGTTCTTCATCACAAATAGAATACATGGTTTGAGCCAAAGCTACACGTCCCTTTGGTGTCTCCGCCCCTGCTTCTAGTCCAAGTGCAATTGTATTTCAGAGTCCCCTGTTTGGTCATGGACTCGAGCAATCGCAGAAACAGTCTGATACACTTCTTGCATCGTTGGCCTTTGATCCGGAATAAATTTCATGCAATCACTTGCAAGTTCAAGTAGTTGCATTACCATATTATCAAATCCTTGGCCTAGCAGTAGTTTATCCACATCAAGAGGACTGGCAAAAGAGCTGCTCGACAAATTTTGACTCGAGCAGCTCAATATGTAAGATTCTTTCCTCGTTAAAAGCTCAAGAAGCACAACCCCAAATCGATAAACATCTTTTTTGTATGTTGTAAAGTCTAAACACTCGACTATTGGAAATAGACTCAAGTTTGAATCTATGTCATTTGTTTTTGCAAGTGTGGCCTCCCAAAAATTGGATAACTTAGGATCGAAATTTTCATCGAGCAAGATACATTGTGTGCTTATGTTACTATGCACAACATGGAAATTTTCACCATCATGAAGCCAAGTCAGGGCTTTCGCAACACCTAAAACAATTTTAACCCTTAGAGGAAAGTCCAAGAGTCTTGCCTTGTCGTCGGTTGAATGCAACCACTCATGTAAGTTTCCATTAGGCATGTATTTGTAAACCAGAATTCGCTCGTCCCTCTCATAACAAAAGCCGATTAAAGGCACCAAATTTGGATGCCTCAGACTACCCAGAGTTGTGATCTCGGAAACAAACTCTTCCTCCAAATCCTCTGAAACATGAAACCTCTTTATGGCAACTGTCCATCCATTTGGGACCAGTGCTTTGTACACTTTCCCTAACATTCCGTTCCCGATTTCATTGTCTTGGCTGAAATTCAAAGTCGCTTTTGATAGTTCCATAAAACTCATTCTTGTAACAATCTTCTCCATCTTTAAAATCTGAGGAAAAGAACATAGCAACCATATTTAGCAATAGTTTGATTAAGTAGTACTCTTTTTGTCTGACATAGTTTGACTGGACACATATTTTAAGACAAAAGAAGACAATTTTTAAAACTTGTAGTCTTAAACGTGCCATAACACTTGTATGCCTATAAAAGCTTGCGACTAAGAGTAAAATGATAAGTTTAATAAAAAGACGGTTGAAAGCAAGATTAATGTTTACCTTTGGATCGTTGTTTACTTCTTCTCGTTGAGGCCATTCATTTCCATCAATCACCATTACCTTTGTTCTCTTGTTGATGAATAGAAGCATCTTCTTTACGCCAGGTAAACCAAAGAAAAAAAGATATATACCAAGTACAGTAAAAAGTGACCAACCAGTCACAAAACCACAAGCAAACTGTACACGACGGTTCAATACAGTACTTAACATAATATGATGGAACCCGACGCGTTTTGTAGCACAGGCTTTCAGAGGACTACCACAAAGTCCTGCATTATTTGCATAACTTTCAGGTGGAAAAGTGGCATTGATAAACCTTGGCACTGGCCCTGTCAACATGTTGTTGGCAACATTAAAGTTCTTGAGTCGACCTAACAAGCCAATTCCGGGTGGGATTGGACCTTGTAGTTTATTGTTGTCTAATCTGAGGGAATTAAGAAAAGAGCAATTTGCAATGTTACTTGGGATCGCGCCTGACAATAGGTTGCTTGAGAGATCAAACAATACAATAAATCCGATTAATTTTGATATATCCGAAGGGATGGTTCCATATATCTCGTTGCTTGAAAGATCTAGAGAAGTTATAGAAGTGCATTTTTTTATGCCTCGCGGAAATTCACCTTTAAGTCCCATTTCTGGAAGACTAATGGATAAAACTCTGGTCTCATAAGGATGCCAGCATTGTATTCCCGCAAATTTGCATATGAAACCTTCTGTCTGATTATCGAACTTCCACGTAGAATTCAAGAAATTTAAAGGGTCCTCCAACGATTTTTTTATCGATTTCAAGCAATCGATGTCACTCTGAACCGCGTTGCATCTTAGAGAAAAACTGCAAAGTACTACAAAAAATGGTAGTACTAAGTAAAGAATGTTGTATTTGCACATTGTGGAAGTGGAATATTTTTTAGTTATTTGCTTTGGCAATTGTGGTGTAATATACTATTGATTTTTGCAGAAATGGACAAGATCGAGTTGACTTGGGTCAATTGCTATATTTCCAACACATTTTCCATAACCCGTTTATGTTAAATTAGGTCTTAGGCCTAACTCACACCCCAAAAGCTAGGCTCAAAGGGAGGAGGATTGCCCAAACCTTATAAGGAGTCCACCCATCTTATTAACCACCGATGTGCCCAGTGCTTAGCATTTGGTGCGTGGGCAATTTTTGATTTTGGGGGTCCCAACATCGGGTGAGATGGGCCCTGCTCTGATACCATGTTAAATTAGGTCTTAGGCCTAACTCACACCCCAAAAGCTAGCTCAAAGGGAGGAGGATTGCCCAAGCCTTATAAGTTGTCCACCCATCTCATTAACCACCAATGTGGGACTTTTGTCATTCTTTTAACAGTTTGACTCTACACAATTTGGGTGAGGTCCTTTTCTGGATCCATGAAAACACTTATATAGAACAAGCTTAAGCGGCCGTTGTATATGTGCGAGACCTTTAATCATTTAACAACTATTATGTGTCTCACGTGTATCAACAATATTTTTGGGTCCACCCTCACATTGATGGCGTCTGATAATTCTCACATTCTCACTTGCACGATATTTTTCATTGACACAGAAATACATCAACACATGGGGATTCGTGGGACACTACTGGTCTATGGCTACGAAAATAGAGTTTAACTAATATCTACTGTTCGTTGGAACTTCTTGTTTTTTTTACTTCAAACGAAAGGATTTATTTATCTATACTTAAGGTTCATTCATACAAAAAGAAACTGATCTAAGCAATAAATTTTCAGTAGCATCTCTTTCGAATGTGTTAGATATAAATTGTGATTGGTGCCTATTGAAGTTTTCAAATAATTATATTGCATAATTAAATTAAAAACTACTATATTTATGTCAATTTGATAATT